TATATATATCTTCTTTATCCTTTCATCTGTTGTGGACATCTGGCGTCTGGCCTCTTTCCATAGTGTGGCCCTGTGGACATTGCTGCTATAAATATAGGGGTGCAGGTGCCCCTTCAGATTACTACATTTGTATCTTTGGGGTAAATACTCAGTAATGCAATTGCTAGGTCATAGGTTAGCTCTATTTTCAACTTTTTGAGGAACCTCCATACTGTTTTCCAGAGTGGCTGCACTAGATTGAATTCCCAACAAGAGTGTAGGAGGGTTCCCCTTTCTCCACATCCTCACCAACATCTGTCCTTTCCTGACATGTTAATTTCAGCCATTCTGATTGGTGTGAGGTGGCATCTCATTGTTGTTTTCATTTGTATTTCCCTGATGCCGAGTGATGTTGAGCAGTTTTTCAAGTGTCTGTTGGCCATTTGGATGTCTTCTTTGGAAAAATGTCTGTTCATGTCTTCTGCCCATATCTTTATTGTATCATTTGTTCCTGGGGTGTTGAGTTTGATAAATTCTTTATAGATTTTGGATACTACCCTTTAATCTTATATGTCATTTGCAAATATCTTCTTCCATTCTGTTGGTTGTCTTTTGGTTTTGTTGACTGCATCCTTTGCTGGGTAAAGCTTTTTTCCTGATGAATTCCCAATAGTTCCTTTTTGCCCTTGCTTCCCTTGCCTTTGGCGATGTTTCTAGGAAGAAGCTGCTGCAGCTGAGGTCAAAAAGGTTGCTGCCTGTGTTCTCCTTTAGGATTTTGATGGATTCCTGTCTCACATTGAGGTCTTTCAACCATTTTGAGTCTATTTTTGTCTGTGGTATAAGGTAATGGTCCAGTTTCATTCTTCTGCATGTGGTTGTCCAATTATTCCAATAAAATTTGTGGAAGACTTTCTATTCCATGGGATATTCTTTCCTGCTTTGTCAAAGATTAGTTGACCATAGAGTTGAGGGTCCATTTCTGAGTTCTCTATTCTGTCCCATTGACATATGTGTCTGTTTTTGTGCCAGTACCATACTGCTTTGAGGATTACAGCTTTATAATAGAGCTTGAAGTCCGGAATTGTGATGCCACCAGCTTTGCTTTTTCAACATTCCTCTGGCTATTCGGGGTCTTTTCTGGTTCCATACAAATTTTAGGATTATTTTTTCCATTTCTGTGAAAAAAGTGGATGGTATTTTGATAGGGATGGCACTGAATGTATAGATTGCTCTAGGTTGCTTGCCCTTGCTTCCCTTGCCTTTGGTGAAGTTTCTCAGAAGAAGTTGCTGCGGCTGAGGTCGAAGAGGTTGCTGCCTGTGTTCTCCTTTAGGATTTTGATGGATTCCTGTCTCACATTTAGGTCTTTCAACCATTTTGAGTCTATTTTTGTGTGTGGTATAAGGAAACAGTCCAGTTTCATTCTTCTGCATGTGGCTGTCCAATTTTCCACATTGGCTTATTTTAATGGAAGGAGATAACATTTGTTGTGAGATGTATGTAACCTAATGTTAACTGTGTGGTCTAAAGTGTTTAGCAATCAAACATTTCTTAGTAAGACCAAACTTTTTTTGTCAGTGAAGTGTTCTGAGCTATACCTTGATGTTTAGAAGAAAAGTATTGGTTAAAACAATTTTCACCTTCTAGGATCTACTTTTTAAATCTTCTATCCCTTGTAGTTATCAACTGCATGTACCAGGCATCCAGAAACTAGTATGTTAAACTGAACCAACTTGATGGGAATAACTATCTATAGGGCTTGTTTTCCAAAGAAGAGCATTGTTTAAAATAGCAAAATTATAAGCCTATTTAGGTGTGTTGTAAAGCTGTTCAAAAAGTAACTCAGCAAGTTTTGTGAGTGGAAATGTAGTGTTCAAATCACATTCTGCTTTAAAAGGTTGTAAGAAATGCAAATGAATTTTTAAAAAAAGCAAGACAAAACAAAACCTGTACAAGAATGATCTTAGTAGTCTTAATTCATAATTGCCTAAAACTGGAAACAACCCAATGTCGTTGATGGATAAACAGATGTAGAGATACGGATGATGAAATATTAGCAATAAACAGGAATGAACTGCTGAAACATGTAACAACATGAATGAATCTCAGAAACATTTTGTTGAGCAAAATAAACCAGTTACAAAAAAGGCACCATTTGATTCCATTTATATAAAATCTAACAATAGGGAAAACTAATCTATGGTGATAAAAATCAGAAAGTGGCAGCTTGGGTTGGCAGGGGGGTTTATTAGAAAGAAGCACAAGAAAATCTCCTGGGATTAGATGGTGAAAATAGTCTGGGGGCGACTGGGTGGCTCAGTCAATTAAGCGGCTGCCTTCGGCTCAGGTCATGATCCCGGAGTCCTGGGATCGAGCCCCGCATTGGCCTCCCTGCTCAGTGGGGAGTCTGCTTCTCCCTCTCCCTCTGCCTGCGTCTCTGCCTGCTTGTGCTTTCTTTCTATCTCTCTGTCAAATAAATAAATAAAATCTTTTAAAAAATAAAAGAAAATAGTCTGTATCTTGAGTTGGGTGGTGGTCACACAATTATGTACAATTGTTAAAATTCGTCCAACTGTACACTTACTTTCTGTACATTTTAGTATGTATAAGCTGTATTTCAACAAAAAAGGGTTTTTAATTTTAAAAAGCAAGAGGGGTGCCTGGATGGCTCAGTTAGTTAAGCATCTGACTCTTGATCTCAGCTCAGGTCTTGATCTCAGGGTTGTGAGTTTAAGTCCTGCACTGGGCTCTATGCTAGGTGTAGAGCAAAAAAAAAAAAAAAAAAGTTTTAAAAGCAAGAAAGAGAAATTTAAGAGACAAATCAACTAATTGCAATTACACAAACTTATTTGAATCCTGATTCTAACAAACACTGAAAAAAAATCAAGGAAATCTGAACATTGACTTCATATTGTTATTTTTAAAAATAATGTTAATATTTTAGATATGAATATAGTATAATTGTGTTTACAAAACACATCCTGGTACAAACTTCCAGTTATAAAATACATAAGTCATGGAGATGTAATGTATAGCATGGTGACTATAATTAATAATCCTGTATTGCATGTTTATTGAAAGTTGCCAAGAGAGTAAATATTGAAAGCTCTCATCACAAGAAAAAGAACTTTTGTAACTATGTATGGAGACAGATGTTAACTAGACATAGTGGCGGTCATTTTGCAATATATGCAAATCTTGAATCATAATAGAATACAATGTTATATGTCAATTATATCTCAGTGAAAAAATTAGCTTATTTTTAAAAGACATTGAATTCAGATGAAATGATGAAATACTTCAGATTTACAGCAAAATAATCTAGTGAGGGAAACAGAGTGAATTGAACCAAGAGTTGATAATTTTTAGTGTAGAGTTAAGGGTACATTAGAGTTCAATATACTGTTCTCTTTTTTCTAGCATATGTTTGAAGTTTTCTATAATGTTTTTAAAAAGGTAAAAGGAAAACGATTGGACCTAGAGAATGTTAAGATCCATTTCAGTTAAACAAGTTTCCGTGGAGCATCTGTTGCACACCAAGTACTATATTTATCCTTGGTCACAGTAAAATACGCGGTTGATATTCAAGCGGTCAAAATGCAGCAGCCTCTTGGGTTCTAATTCCTAGGGAATAGTCCAATAAACTGATAAGAGCAGAGTCCTTGATTTCTTCATAGATAGAAGGCAGTACTCTCTTACTGCCAGAACTGTACTTTAAAACCCTAAAGCCACAACTTTAATTACACTTACATTATACTTACAGCCAATAGGTAACTTATAAAGTTTATAGCTCAGCTCTTCATACACGAAATGACCCATTCATGATGTTGGTAATATTGACATGGAACATGCCTGACATTCAGAATTCAAGAGCATGTTATATAATGGAATTCTTTGTAACGATACTGTTATACTTTATAAACTTAGGTAAAAATTACTATCTATTTACCATGAAAGCAGTAAATTAGAGTGTAGGTTTAGCAGGGCTTTTCCATTTTATACGAACTCCAAGAACTACATCACATTTTTCCCATCAGAGTTCACTTGTACATTTCATAAGGAAGATTTAGAAATAAATTCATATCTAATTGATAAGAATTCAAAGGATATGGGGTTCTCCCAAAGCCTTTTGAGGATATGACTAACAGGCACTTTTGCCTCAGTAAACTATTCCAGTTTCATGGCTTTTATCTGCTCAAAACCAAAGAGTATAGGAGTATGTCAATCACACCATCTTCAATATATTTGTTTAAAAGGACACCATAGCTATCTTTCATCTTGTCACTAGGAGCAAGATGATATTTCAAATCACACAGATCTCCTTCTCTTGCATTTTGGACCACATTAGAAATGGGAATAAGAAAAGCTCTCTCCCTGACATATTTTACAATGGAACTGAGCTGAGTAACAGAGAAGCCTCTTGACTATGGGTTCCAGATTACAGCCACCAAGGAAGAAAGTGCAGCCATTCATGATTTAGATCATAGCGGGTGTTCATTCTGAACTAATGGAGCATGGCGGGTTGGTACTTCAGAGATTCACTCCTCAGGGAGGTCTGCCCTTCTATTAATCACAGATCTTTTGGAGCTATTGATCCAGGAACGCAAAGAAGCTGCTAAACACTAAACCCATCTTGCTCCCCTCCAGTTGATGCAGGTTCCTGGAAACATCCCTTCGTCTCCCCATCTCCCCAAAGAGAGAATAAGGTCTATTAAAAATGATCCCCAAAATGTGAGTGACATAATTGGTAACTCTAAAATGTACCTTGATTCAAAGCCAGGGCAGGGGCATAAATAACAATTCCAGTATACAGAATCTATGAGAAAAAAGAAACCAAATAAACTGTATGAATTATAAAATAAATTATCGATTTTTTCTATAAACTCAACAATGAATTAAAACAGTAGTTTCAATATACTTAATGAAATATGTTTGTAACTTGAAAATGTTATTTAAGTAAAGTTGATTCTCCTTTTCTGTTTGTGGTGTGGTCATAGGTTACAAAAATCTTTTATGACCAATTTTGTTAAAATTATGGACTTTTCATGCAGTGCTTAATGCAGATAGTCACTGATCTATCACCTCAAACTTGAAATCAATTCTCCTCAATCTAAACAATTAGAACGAAAGAAAGAATACAGATTTAAAAGGAGATGGTCCCTCATTCATATGCTTTCAAACTATTATTAATCACTGCATAATTAACTGGGAAAACTGAAAATTTTAGAAACTGGTTTTAAAACGTTTGCATGCTCACTAATTAAACAAAAGTATAAATTTGCACTTAAAAAAAAATCCCGAAAGCCAACAAAAACTGTATTCCATCTTTTATATATATTATTTTTCACTCATACACCTAACAAATATTTATTGATCCAGGGTACAACAGTATGAAAAATATGGTCTTTTTTCTCAGAACATCATTTTCACTGCATTTGATCTTTCAAATATATATATTCTATGATTTGTTCTATAAAAAGGTATTATGATTCTATGATTCTATGTTTACTCTATAAAAACATATTATGAAAAAAGTCGTATTATATAGTATTTGAATGTCTGATTATATTACATGGGTAGATCAATGGAAGTAAGTCCTTCAAATGGGAGATGCTTTCCTCTTTTTTGCAAGAATGAACCAGCCTTCCACAGTCATTATCCTGACCAAGTTGAAGGTTTGAAAACATGGCCATGTACCAGCTTCCTAACACTTGTTCCCCACTTCCCATTTCTGTAGGCATTTCTAAAAATGATCCAAAGAGGGTCTGAACAGTTGATAATTGCAAGCTACGAGGTTCAGTTCTTTGGCAGGATCTTTACCAGACCCCAAAGGGCTTCTTCCTTTTACATTGGAAGTGTTAATGACCAATTTAAGTTATGAAATTTACAGAGACATAAAATGGAGTCAAGTTAAATAATTTACAAAGGTATTCTGTTACGCTTTTGCAAATGCTTAGGTAGCTTGCCATTGGAGAAGAGAATTACAAATAGGGATGAGAATGAAAACTCCTTCCTGGACCTCCATTATCAAATCCATCCCTAAAGCACTCAGCTGCCAAGAGGAAGATGGATGTAAATGAAGTGACAACCATCATGACAAGCCTCCAGCAACCTGAATGAATGGAAAATAATGACAAGGGTTTTCCCTTTTTGGTTTCCTCCTATTTTCAACACCTCTTTTTTTATCTTTCATGCATTTACCAAATAAGCTTAGCCCAGATACCTTGGCTGAAAACATTTTAGACAACAAAAGGTAAAGCAAACTAATGGAGAGTGACTTACTGTTTGAACAATGAAGAGGACTGTTCCACAGAGACGGACAACTTTGTTAAATCGGAGCTCTAAATACTGTTTCCAAAAAAAGGAAGAAATGGTTACTATGTGAAAACTTTATACACTTTTCAAAAATCAGCCGCTTAACAAGTAAAGGGGTTAGAAATTTAAAGCAACTTCAGTCATCAAAAAGAATGAAATCTTGCCGTTTGCAATGACATGGATGTAACTAGAGGGTATTTGCTAAGCGAAATAAGTCCGTCAGACAAAAACAAATACCATATAATTTCACTCATGTGGAATTTAAGAAACAAAAGAGAGGAACATAGGGGAAGGGAAGAAAAAATAAAATAAGATAAAAACAGAAAGGGAGGCAAACCATAAGAGACTCTTAACTACAGGAAACAAACTGAGGGTTGCTGGAGGAGAGGTGGGTCGGGGGACGGGGTAACTGGGTGATGGGCATTAAGGAGGGCACTTGAAGTAATGAGCACTGGGTGTTATATGCAGCTGGTGAATCACTAAATTCTACCTCTGAAATTAATAATACACTCACTATATGTTAACTAAATTGATTTAAATTTAAAAAAAGAAATTTAAAGCAATTTCATAAATGTTTGTATTCTGTATTCCCACGTTGCTACTATTTTTCTTTACATAAAGCAAAATTACTCTTGCTTTAAAGTACAGTTCATTGGGTTTTAACACATACTGGACAGTTCCAAAACCCTCAGAGAACTCTGTTACGTTGTTCCTTTGTGGTCAAACTCTCCCCCAACCCCTAAACCTTGGCAATCATTGATCTTTTCTCCATCCCTAGTTTTGGCTTTTCCAGCATATCATCTAAATGGATTATATTCTGCAATTTTAAAATGAGCAAAGTGCTGTTCTCCCCTTTCTCTTGGCATCTACTTCAGACATTTCCCTGATTCACTTGGGAATCAGCCCTTTCCACTGCAGGCAATTGTGATGGAATTGCCTATCAAGGTGCCCTGCCTCTTTTGACTAGGGGATGGTCACCTGACCCAGCTCAGCTAATCAGCTCCTCTTTCCAATGGATATTTGGATCTTGGAGGTATAATATAAAGACAGAAAATGATTGGAGCAGAAGCAGACTGATCTGACAGTGGCCTGAAGAGGCTTCCTTGGCTTCTGTCCTTTTCACAGCCTATTTGTTCAGCTCTTCACTCTGTTCAATGGGTTACCCCTATATCCTCCCAAATAAATGATTTTTTACATAAATTGGCCTAAGTTAGTTTCTGTTCAGAGCCAAAAACCTGCCAATTTTTCCTACTCTCCTTGGCATCTGCTGTATCGAAAAATATAGTCGACTCATCTCCTATATTATATGTCATAATACAGTTAGAATCATAGAATTTTAGAGCTGGAAGGAAGCTGGGGTCTCAAACATTCTTTAACTTGAATATTATTACTCACTTAGGGAGAATTTTAAAGCTGAAAACAGTCTTCATACCAGAAAAAAAAAAAGAGGAAAAACTGACATTAAGTAATAATCTGGGGAAACGACACTAGATTTTTTGCTCCAAAGTCACAGGTAACACTTTAGAGTCTTGCTGTGTACACTGCCCTCCCAACAACTCCCTGAGGCCAATACTACCTGTTACGGGGGAGGACACAGGGCTCAGAGAGAACACCAAAGCTGCAACCTAATAGCTCTCAGAGCCACAATGCAAGTCTAGGACCATTTAATGCCCAAATCTGGGCAGGGAACAACTACATTATTCCAAATAAGTAAGCTAACTGACCATGGCTTTGAGTGAGTAGGTGGCACTGATATATAGTAGCACCTTCTGAAACAACCAAAACGTAAAAAATATGCAGCACAGTATAGTTTTTGGGAGGAGTTCCAGCCCTCAACCCAGTCCTACTTCTAACTGCACAAGCTTGGGGCAGTCACTGAAGATCTTAGGCTCCTCCTCTTGAAAATAAGGATCACAGTATTAATTCTTTCCCTCTTACTTTGCAGGGGTTTGGAGACTATCGAATGATATAAATGGATGGGGAAATACTATAAACTGTTATTCAAAACTAAGACATTAAGAAGGTGGTATTCAAATCCACAGATAAATATAACTCACAATTATAAGCATACATATATAGGGCACCTGGGTAGCTCAGTTGGTTAAGCAGCTGCCTTCAGCTCAGGTCATGATTCTGGGGTCCTGGGATCGAGTCCCACATCGGGCTTCCCTTGCTCTGTGGGGAGCCTGCTTCTCCCTCTCCCTCTGCCTGCTACTCTCCCTGTTTGTGCTCTCTCTCTGTCAAATAAATAAATAAAATCTTTAAAAAAAATAAGCATACATATATTCACAAATATATATGAATAATATATATACAAATAAATATAATCCACAAATATATATATAAACATATATATTTATATACACACATATACACATGCACACACATACACACATATATTCTGGACAACTCAGTTCCAATACACAGATTACATAGATCCAGAAAGATCCCGAAAAAGTGGGGAATGAAACTGGATTCCCGCATTATACTTCTTATCTGTGGGTCTGGAAGTGGCTAAACACCTAACAGGCTTATACTTTGAAGGCAGGGATAAATAGATAACAAAAATGCATCTGAACAGCCAATTCTAGCTTAAGAAATGTAAGTAGGAAGAGATTTCATATTTGAGCAAGAATGCCAGGGTATCACTCAATGCTGGACTTCTTCTTCTGTGTAGATGTTTCCAGCTCTCAGCATAAAACAAAAATTGCTCACAAGAAAGTGTTTGCTATGGCCAACTGTCAGGGACAAAGCATGTTATCTAACTTCCCTGACCCCCCACTGCTGGGCATCCACCCGTCATGGACACCCCCAGCATGCCCACAACTCTAGGTGTTCTGTTCTACTTCTCTTGTTCTCTCTGCACTCTTTTTTTTTTTTTAAGATTTTATTTATTTATTTGAGAGATAGAGAATGAGAGATAGAGAGCACGAGAGGGAAGAGGGTCAGAGGGAGAAGCAGACTCCCTGCTGAGCAGGGAGCCCAATGTGGGACTCGATCCCGGGACTCCAGGATCATGACCTGAGCTGAAGGCAGTCGCTGAACCAACTGAGCCACCCAGGCGCCCTCTCTGCACACTTTTAAGCCCTGCCTGGGGATATAACAGACTTACCAGAGCCTTCAGAAGCAGCCAGTAGGCACCATTGCCTAGCCTCCAGGCATGTGTCTACTTTGCCTCATACTCTCTTATGTAGCTTAACTTTGTCTGCAACATGGGGCTCTCATAGTACCTCCCTTATAAGGATTGTTTTGAGTACTGAGACAGATAATGTATGTATGTAAAACACGAAGCCCAGCACCACACATGTATTAAGCATTCGGTAAAAGTTAACTTTTTGCCATTTTTAGCTGGAACCCTGCTAACAGCCTCCATTGCAGGAAATGTGTGGGAAATCTGTTTCTGGTTGAGTTAATGTTGCTGCCCCCAAGGAGGAATGGGTCAGTGCTTATTAAGAGGAGCATTCCTCTCCAGGGACTGAAGTCTTCTTGCCAGGTTCTTGAAACCCTTTCTGAATTCTGGAATTGGTTAACTACAGATCAGAGCTCACGGACTCAAACTGCCTAAGAGCTCATCAGGTAACATACACCAGTGGATCAGCCAGGTGTTCATATATTAAAATGTTGGAATATTCCTCATATCCTCTAAGAAATATGTCCTCTCACATCTCTCTCAAAACCAAGTACTCCCTTCACCCCTGTCCATTTTCTCTTTTGCATTTTTGAGGAAGACAAAAATGCAGATAAAGATTTCTCTATCATAAGAAAGTAACCATGCACCTACAATGATGAGGCCTCAATACAGAAATTAACAGGGGGTGAGAACAACGGCCTTATAACTGGAGTTCCTGCACCACAGGGAATGTGAGCCCGGTGTCACCAGTCTTATAAATTTTTGTTGTTGTTGTTTCTTTTAAAGGTTTTATTTATTTTTTTGACAGAGAGAGAGGGAGAGAGCACAAGCAGAGAGAGCAGCAGAGGGAGAGGGAGAAGCAGGCTCCCCGCTGAGCAGGGAGCCCGACATGGGGCTCGATCCCAGGACCCTGGGATCATGTCCTGAGATGAAGGCAGACGCTTAACTGCTTAACTGACTGAGCCACTCACAAACCCCCAGGCTTCTAAATTTTCAAAAGAAGCTAGAATCTGGAATTTCATTTGACTTCTCAACATCATAAATGCTAAATTAATTTTCTTTCAAAACACCATAAGGGTCAAAAAAAAAAGACAGAAAACAGAGTTTGACCTGGGACAGCCAGTTTGTTACCCTTGAGCAAAACAGAGAAATTCCATCCTGCTCACTTCTGGGATGATGACTGAACTCTCCCAAACACAATGGCCAGAGTGAGTGGAAGGCACTGCTGCCCCAGGGGTGCCTCGCCCTGGATGGCGTCACTATAGCCCAGGCATCTGTCACCAACACTTGTGCCATTGAGGCCCTGTAGCCGGCACCAGTTGAACCAGCCTCACTAGGAAACCACCTTTCCAGTGGCTCTGGAGTAGAGCACACAGTACCTAAACTCAAGGACTGAGGTGGTTGCTGAGAATGAGTGTCAGCACCCTCTGAATCATGCCCTGTGAGAGACGAAACTTTGCTCGGTTTGTCCATGTTGCTCATGGGTTAGTACCTGGGGAAAGGAGACCAGTGAGGGCACTGAACAGGCCCCCCACTCCCCTGAGCTTTTATTCCCCCATCCCCACACTGCACTCCCATTCAACAGCTCTTTAACCTAAACCAAACATTCCACATCTTTGCAAAGCCCTTTCCTGCAGACAACTGAAGGAAATCTATAACCAGTGGAGCTATGCAACAGGAAAGATCATTTTCCTTAATCATCTTTCCACATACAGAGAAGGTAGGCCTGTTTAAGAACCTTGCAGCCAAATCTTCCTAGTGACCCCAAACAAACCACCTCTGCCACTACCACCACAAATCCTTAGGGTCAGCGTCTATCCAGCACTATCCTGCTCCAGACACTATTCTGAATGCTACACTTGAATCATCTCATTTAATCCTCCCAACAACTGGATGAGGAAGTTGATATCATTTTCATTTTGAGATGAAAAAACAGGCACAAAAGTTAACTGAATCACCCAAGGTTACCCAGCTAGTACATGGTAGAATCTGGTCTCAAATGCAGGGACTGAGACTAGAGTTACAGCACCTCAACCATTTGGGAATCTGCCTCTCCTGGAAAAGTGAATGGTGCCTGGGGACCTGGGACAGGGGATTCCTTTCAAGGAGGAGGGTCTGAGACTTGAACAACTTGCCCTCCCCCAGATAAAAAGTATTAAAATCTTTCCCCTTGACTCCGAATCGAAGATATTAAAGCAGAAAGGGCCTTTGTGAGCACTAGTCCAAATCATTCCGTTTACTTCGGAAGCCTCTCTTTTTCAGTGAGCTCGTGAGAGTAAGCCCCAAGATTCTGTCGCCTTCACCGGACACCCCTCCCCAAAAGGGGGGCGAGGCAGGGCAGGTGATGGACATGGACAGGGAGAGATTTCAACATGGGGGTGATTCTGCCCCCAGGAAAATCCCTCCAAGATCTTGAAAAGCCCTGTCCCTTCCACCCCCCCCCCCGCCCTTTACCTCGTAGGTGCTGGTAATTCCCAGTTTGTAGAACACGGGGAGGAAGACCTCCGCGCTGATGGCCACCACAAAGAAGTAGGTGATGGCAAAGATGCTGAATATGGCCCCAAAACGGTAGACCTCCGAGGGGGTGCCCAGGACGGTGACGGCCGACATGAAGCTGGCGGTGAGGGACAGGGCCACGGGCACAGCAGTCATTCTGCGGCCGCCCATCAAGAAGTCCTTGGAGGTCTGCTGGCCACCCCCCGCGAAGGCGTAGTAGATGCCGATGACAGCCGAGATGAGCAGCATCCCCGCGAACACCACGTAGTCCCACACCACGAAGGTGCCGATGCCCCGCGTCGCGTCCATGGTCGCTCGGTCTCCTTGGCCCTGCGTACAAACTGTGGCCCCGCGACGCTCTGCCCGAGTCCGAGCCCGAGCTTTACCTCTGCGGCTTGGCGCTCTGTTCTTATTCCCGGCGCCGCCGGCGCGGCGGGCGTGTCGCCCGCGGGGATTGGACGCGTCTTCCAGGTATCCGTCCCCTCACCGGCCCCAAGCGGCCCCGAGCGGCTCCGCGAAGGTGGGAAGGCGGGAAGGCGCCGTCAGTGGCCTCTGCGCCCACCGCAGCCAGCCCAGCTCCTCTAACTGGGACTTCGGGGAGCTCCTCCGCCACGTTAACCCCCCCTCACATGGTGCCGGACTCGGGGTGGCCGGGATCGCGGAGCGCCGCGGACACCTGGGAGATCTGGAGCCTGCAGCTGCGTCCGGCCGCGAATCCACAAGGAGCTCTCCGCCTAAAGGTTACCAACTGGCACCTACCGGGACGCACCATTTAATTAAATAAGCAGGCGACCTATGGGGGAGTGTGGGTCGAAGGGTAATTGTCACGCCTGTACTTTCAGCTTTCAACAGTCCAGGTCCTTAGGGGAAGATACACCTAGAGTTTTTAGATTGCCTTATTTGATAAATTAATGGGAGATTCTGGTGACAGTGTGCAGTGAGTTGAGGTTCCAGTCCTTAGGCAGGTAAGCAATTACAAAGTAGAGGACGAAATCTGTGCTATTGGGGACTGCCTTTTCATTCAATAAACATTTCTGATCCCCAACAGTCTCTCCTAAACATGACAGTTTCTGTAGTATTAGTAATACCTACTATTTAAGGAGTCTTATCATGTGACATAGAACATGCTTGGCACCTTGAACATTAACTAGTGTGATTCTTCCAATTACCCTTAAAGAAGGAGTCGTCTCTATTTTTCAAATGAGAGAACTGGCATAGGAAGATAAAAACACTTGCCCAAGGAAATGGTGGCAATTAAGATTTTTATTCCAGGTCTGATCTCAGAATTTGTTCTTCGAATCACATATTTTGTAGAGTTCAAATGTAGATAGATGTTAAGTGTAGGCATAAATATGTACACTTAAATGAAGACACTTGAAAGCATATGGAAAACAAGATCATTTCCAGGCCCCAGGACATATTTTAAGTGGCTTGTCTTGAAATATTACTAACAATACATGAGTCAGCCTTGCAAAGCAGTGTGACTCCCAGGTTTTTCCTGTAAAATAGACCCTCCAGTCAAAAGTACCCTGGCATAGGTCTATTTTAGGCCACGCTTGTTCATTGTCATACATCTTTATAATTTACGAGGTGATCCTTGGTAAACAATCCACAGAATGCATTTAGCCCAACCCAGTGTGTGAAGGAAGAAAGCTATCTCAGATTTTATTTTTTGTGAGGTGGCATTATTTATATAACATTTTCAAAGGGAACTAAAGAAGGAAATAGAAGCTAAATCCAAGCAATTCAATCCTTTAAACAAATATATGGCGGGCGCCTGGGTGGCTCAGTTGGTTAAGCGACTGCCTTCGGCTCAGGTCATGATCCTGGAGTCCCGGGATCGAGTCCCACATCGGGCTTCCTGCTCAGCAGGGAGTCTGCTTCTCCCTCTGACCCTCTTCCCTCTCCTGCTTTCTATCTCTCATTCTCTCTCTCTCAAATAAATAAAAAAAAATCTTTAAACAAATACATGGCTTGAAATTAAGTCCCAGCTGTGTAAAATTTACTATCTTTGCACTTATGACTCTCTTGGACAGAGACAGCATTTTCTCCTGTTCTCACTGCCTGGCACTCAAACTCACCAGCAAACAGCATCTCCTAATCCCACCTGCTTTACAACCAGCTGTACTCTCTCACCTACCTTAGTTCTCTTAGCATGTTTATGCTCATCTGTTGGCCTTCATGGTGGTACAGTATTGCAGTTGTTTTGATCAAGGTTCTTAATGCAGGAATTATCTTATGGATTCCACGAGTCCAAAAGCAGCAAATGGAAAGCCATTCTACATGCCTGCTTCATTTTCCCCCTCTCTTTCTCCAAATGTGTTCTCTGCATTGCCACAGGGGCATGGTCAAAAATGCCCTTGATTCAGTGGACCACAGAAACCCATTAGCACCTTTGAATTCCAATTCTCAATCACTGGGTGCTCCCTTTGGCAGCACATATACTGATTCTCAATCACTGGGAGAAGAAATCCGTTTGGTACAGCTTTGGTTACATGTCCCCAGACCTCTAATCCAATCATCCCTGGCCAGAAGGGCAGGGTTCTCATTGTGGGCTGCACAGATTCACCCTGAGGGTAGGGAAGGGGAATTAGTTCTCCACGTAAGAGGATGGTAAGCTCTGCAAGGTGTCTCCTCTATTAAATGTCTGTCATTTTATTATCTCCTGTGGGTGGAAGATAAGCTCCTTGGGAAAAGGGACTATGCTTGCCCATCTTTGTAAACCCCCAGAACCTAGCACTGTTTGTTGCCTAAAAAATATGCTAAACCTACTGTATTGATCCTACTTTACAATGCTTGTTGGCATCCAGAATTTCCCCCCAAATTTCTGAAAGTAAAATTTGGAAATCTGAGAGTGATCTTATTGGATCCTGAATCTAGATTTACTCATATACTTACCTATGGGCGGTTTCCTCTTGTTTTTGAAAGCAAAAGTAAAGACAAGTGTACTACCAACATAATTTTCTACTGTCTATTCTTTACCTTGAAATCATAATCACAGTTACTGGGGGACTCTAAGAATATCCTTCTGAATTGCCAAAGGAAGATAAGAGCACACTAGTCTTCCTCTACAGAGTACTTTCTTAACATCCTTCCACCTAGGAACATTGAGTAAAGTTGGAAATTTCAGGTCAGTACAATTGCCATTTTGTCACATGGCTTGAGTTGGGAAAGATGTATATGAATCAGTACTTAGCATCTATACCCCCACACCTATCTTCTTTAGTTTCTTTCTTATCTGGGTCTCACTCTAACCAACTCATTGTAATCAATTCTGAGTTGTAGTACTAGGTACTTTTATTAAGTAATGGGATCAACCAACCCAATAAATTTAGTAGGAGAAGTTTTATCTGATGTTCTTGTATGCTTCCTGCTAAATAATAAGGGCTATGAAACTCATCATATTTCTCCTTCTAGCAAAACTGCCATAGCAGCTTAGTAAGGCCAACTTTTGTACTACCATAGCCCAGACCCTTAGCCTAGTAGAGATATTTCCCTCCTTTTGCTACTTAATTTTTGTTGTTTTCCCCAAGTTTCAACCTTTCCTGCATATGTATCTTTTATTGCAAATAAGCACAAGTCTTCTTTTGGATACAGAAAGTTATACACAAAGAAGGAAAACCATGTACTAGAATATATTCTTTGTGCATACCCCAGTACCTCCTAAATCACCACTAACGTGGCATCAAAGGAGTAAAAAAAGGTGTCAGCACATAAGGACAGAGAGATGGCAAGACGAGATGATCGCCAATAAAAAGTCTGCCACAGTTTGGGAAGAATGAATGTAGATAGACAAGTGGAAAGTGACAGAGGTTTTGGCTTTCCTCACTTGTGAAATACCTTAAGGAAAGGAAGCTGACAAAGCAATTTGTACAATAATACCCCTGGGAAAAGGCAGAAATCAGAGGGGCCATATACTTCTAAAGGTAGAGTATGAGGTAGAATGAAAAACCAGCAGACTCATATAAGGAGAGCTTTGCGACTGGCAGTCAGGTAAGTGTCTCTCTTTTTTCCTGGTGGAAAACTACAGATACCTTCTGGAGAGGTTAAAGTAAAAAAAAAAAAAAAAAAAAATCTGGCTAAGGACACCTGTCACAGCTAAGCACTAGAGTGAGGCATTTTCCTAGAAGACAGGGATTAGAGAAAGTTTGTCTACTGAATGGTGAGACACTCTCCCTCCCTATCCTTTTCCTACTAGTCTCCCAGCATGAGGACTCCCAGATTTGTATACTTTCTCAGGCAGGACTGGAGAGGATTTCTTTCTGAAGAAACCAAGCAGCCCAAGAGAATGCTGGCATTTAGGGCTTCTATAAAAAAGCAGGACCCCCACCTGACCATCCTAAACTGAGGCTCTTCCACTAATGAGCCCAGCCTCCACACACACTTTCCTGATGGCTTCTATTGCCTCTCTCCTTAATATGAATGGATAGTCAGGGATCACTATCCATTAGAGAAAAACCTTTTGCATGAAAGACAGAGACAAAAACAAACTAGAAAAGAAATATTACAGGGCACCTGGGTGGCTCAGTCAGGTTAAGTGTCTGCCTTCAGCTCAGGTTAAGTGTCTGCCTTCGGCTTACATCATGATCCCAGAGTCCTGGGATGGAGCCCCGAATCAGGCTCCCTGCTCAGCAGGGAGTCTGCTTCTCCCTCTCCTTCTGCCCCTCTCCCCTGCTCCTGCTCTTTCTCTCTCTCTCAAATAAATAAAATCTTTAAAATAAAAAAAGACACGTTAAAAAAACAGAGTCAATTCATGAAGCAAAGGGAAACCCTAGAAATCTAGAGTTATTTCTGAGAAAACAAGGAAAATTCTGCATGTTGTGAAATGCAAAGAGTTTGCTATTAATTTCACAGAGGATAAGAAGGTGCTTTTGGAAATCAAAAAATATAGAAGCAGAAATTAACAATTAGCAAAAGGTCAGAAAATAAAATTGAAGAAACCTTCTATAAAGCAGAACAAAAGTACAGAGTGATGAAAAATAGCTAAAAGAATTTAGAAGTTCAATCTTGGGAGTCTAAAACATGACTATAGGGCGCCTGGGTGGCTCAGTTGGTTAAGCGACTGCCTTCGGCTCAGGTCATGATCCTGGAGTCCCGGGATCGAGTCCCGCATCGGGCTCCCTGCTCGGCAGGGAGTCTGCTTCTCCCTCTGACCCTCCCCCCTCTCATGTGCTCTCTCTCTCTCATTCTTTCTCTCAAATAAATAAATAAATAAATAAATCTTTAAAAAATAAAAAAAATAAAACATGACTATAGGAATTCTAGAGAGAGAATAGAGGAAAGGAAATTATCAAAGGAAAATTTAAGAACATGATGTTTTTAATTTAAATTCAATTAATTAACATATAATGTATTATTGGTTTCAGGGGTAGAGGTCAGTGATTCATCAGTCTTATATAATACCCAGTGCTCATTACATCACGTGCCCTCCTTAATGTCCATCACCCAGTTACCCCATCCCCCCACCCTCCTCACCTCTAGTAACCCTGTTTGTTTCCT